AAGACTCATGTGCCGTTCACTGGCTCCATAGATTCTCGAGAAGGGCATAAAATATCGTGAATTGATAGAGACACGGTAGTGTAGTGAGCGTCGCAGGTATACTTGACGCAGGTGGACGGCGCGGCTGGTATTGTTCGACGAGCGGAAGATGAAGTCCAAAGTGCAGCACTGTGGCACAATCAATGAGGTTTGTGAACTTTTTAAATGTCAATGATTGGTGTTATGCAGGATTGAAGCGATGTGCATAGCCGCCGAAGACCATGCGGGCGGGCGCGATGGGCCTGTCAGCAATGCTAGTTCATTCTGCGCCCCCAAGGCACATGGGGGAATTGAGGAGGGAGGGGTGCCCCAGTGCTGGCCGATGATCCGCAACAAGCGGAAAAGTACTGGCTGGCCAAGTGAAGATGAGCAATGACCCCCGGTCACCTCGTCTGTATGTAGCCGTGGTTGGTGTCACTGCTCAACCTTGACATGAAGGAAACGGCAAGGGGATCTTTACTTGTGTTTTGCTTCTTGCGCACAGCGACTTGCGCTTGCGGGCCGAAGTCATGGGCAATGGTATTGGCGGGGGGGGCGAGAAGAGAGAAAACAGACGTGACAAACTTTTCGGCTATTGTCCTCGTGGTGGACTATCCGTACCTCGGAATGGTTGGACAAACTGAATCTTTGCTCTTGTCTAAGCCCTCTGCCAAACATGATCAGCTTGGATATATCAGGGTTGTTGTTTAAAACAAAACCGGACCGTCTGCTTTGCCTTATGCCTCGACCACGAGCTGGCCAGTGCGAAAGGGACGGGCTCCCGTCGCGTACAAGTGCCCTTGTCGCAAATCCAGGGACAGCTTTATGTACTCTGTATGGTGGTTATTGCTAACAGTCTTGTGCCGACTCCACTTTCCGGTGGAAATGTCTGTCGAATTGACGAAGGAAGGCAGATTGGGAAACCCATTCGCATCGCCAGTCAGCCATATTGCTTTGCCAACTTGACCCCCTTGGAAGGCCAGCTTACCGAGCTGGTTTGGGGTCCCTGGCCAAAAGCGAGATGGCAGTGAATGACGGCGGTGGGCGTACGAGGGAAATCGCCGCTTGGCAAGAACCAGGAACCAACGCCGTCTGCGTCGCGATGCTGCGTTTCTATGACGCGGGAATGAGACCACATCAGCCCCCTTCTTTGGGGGTCGGCCAGGTTGTACAAGGTTGCATACAGTAGCAAGACGGAGTCTCGCTGCCATGCCGCGTGTCAAGCCGGGCATTGTAGCAGATGGAGGTTGAGGGGGTTGTGAGAGGATAAAAACGTGTCCGTTGAGGAGAGAGCGCGTGCCTATGTCCGTCCGATGTCGTACGGCGCATGTCAAGCAAGGAATGTGGTGCGGTACGATGAAGTAGGTCGCTTTGTGATGCCGGCAGAACACAAGCATAAAGTAGAGTTGGTGCATCCGTGACCTTGTATACTTGAGATATTTGCCCTCGCCCCATAATTCGGTTTGTCTATCCTCTGGCTGGACTATCACACCAAATTGTGACTGGCGAGTTTAAGGCAAGGTACGTATCCGTTCGTACGGGATTATTCATAGTTGCTGTTCCACATGTTAGTTCCTGGGACCTGAAGCGGGAGCAGCAGCAGAAGTAAGGTAGCGTCAGTTTCTACCTTGGGTTGGGCCTACTGATTCTAATTCCTAGTTCTCGTTCTAGTCTCCGAGAAACGACATGCTGAGTCAGATACGAGGGCGAGGGTCTCTCGAAGTGGAAACTAGGAAAGCATGTCTGGCAAACTAGTTGCAATGGTCCTTCCACAGACCTGTTCTCTGGGCCCTCGACGCCAGGTAGCTGGAGCGAAGCTGGCAGGGGCGAGAGGAAGGGGGGCGCATTCAATGAGACGTGCTGCCTTTCTGTCCCCGGTCGTCGGTCTTGGTGACTTCATCCGCAGCTTGAATTGCTCCAGCGATGCTGTGTGAATGCCCTGCCAAGATGAAGGAACAAGGCCAGGGCTACCTAGATGCAGGTAAGGCAGGGCAGGGCAAAGTTTTGGAGAGGAAGGTCGCAGTGTACGCATGTTCCCTGCCATGTTGAGCATGGGAGAGGAGGAAGGGGAAGGGGGATGAGATTTGCATGAGCAAGCATGGAGGAGTAGAAGTGAACTGTGTGTAAGAGAAAGAGAGAGAAGAGGAGACATTCAGACAGACAATCTATGCAAGTGCAATCATCTTTGGTGGCCCTGGGTTCCATTGGATTCGGATGAGGTGAAGTGCAGCACAGGCAGGAGGCAAGGAAGGTACCGTTGTATCTGACCTTAGGTACCTTAGGTAGATACCTTACTACGTAGGCACTCCGTACTGGGGTAAGGTATGGAGGCAGGAGCTAGGGAGGCAGGAAGGAGCTAGGAAGTCGGAAAGAGGTGTCAATCTCCCGACCCACTTGCGGACACGGATGACAGGGGGAAGGTACGCACGTACCTTAGCTTAGTACCTGGCAGGAGTGCTAGTCTGCTGGAGGCTCCTACCCTGGTCCTGTCTTCATGCAGCTCCCTCTCTCCTCGTCTCCATCCTCATCTCATCTTTTTGTTTCTGTGCCGCCGTCTCCTCAACTTTCTCTTCTTCATCCATGATCCTCCTCCCTTCCTCTTCTCGCCTTGTCCTGCCTTTTGCCCACCTCACCTCGCTTCTCCTTGCCTTGTCTCGAGAGGCTCTCCATCTCGTCAATATACGACGCATTCGCTCGCTCTGCTTTGAGACACGCCGCACGCCGCGCGCATTGAATGGGAGGAAGGGCGGGTTGCATCCGGCGAGAGCGTCCTATCTCGTCCTATCCTGCGGTGTTTTGCCTTGGCTCAGTCCAGGATCACGGGGTGTATCCATACGGAATACTGTGTGCGGGTACATCATACTCCCTTCCAGGCACAGGAGAGCGCCGAAATATCCCTTCTTCGCTGAATTTCAATTTCCCTGTCGAGCATTTATCGCGGTCGTAGTCTCGGCTGCTCACAGCATCTTGGTACCCGGGACGCCTGACCGGGCCGGTGTGTGTTTCCGCTGGCTTCGTCATACACATCTATGAATATCCTCCATTACTGACATGACCATGAACAAGGGTTAGGCACCTTACCTTGAGAAGAGGCCATCCCATCAGCGAACTTGCGAAGCACGGTACCTTCCAGACCTCTCTCCTCAATGGACGGTTAGGTTGACGTTAGTCTCCGCCGTTACGCTAACGCAGCGTGGCGTAGTATTGGTCCAAGCTTGATGGCATGGTGTCTCGTTTTCTCCATGTCTGTCTGCACTCTGCCCTACCGCTCGCTGGCTTGCGAGTTGGGCTTATATTGTCAATCCAGCGTCACTCTCTTTCCCTCCTCTTTGCTTCTATGGCCTTTTTTCTCTTTCTCTCCCTCTCTCTCCTTCCTTAGCCTAGGCCCCCTTGTTTTTGATTCTACTTCCCTCTCATTTTTTTCTTCTCTCTCGTGATAGATATCGCTAATCTGCTTTCTTTAGTTTCTCACCCCTGTCCCCTTCCCCTCCCCATTCCTTTTCCTGACTCGATAGATCCGGACTTTCATCAAGCACTATACGCATCTGTTACGGCGGATTCTGTTTTTTTTTCTCGAAAAAACCGAAATGAAGAAAAGGTGGTATACAGTTTTTGACTCTGTTCCGAGGCAAATAAACACCTTGTCGCTTGTCGCGCGTATGCTTCGCGTCAATGATTTCGCGTCCAAACTTGAACTACTCGCTTGCCATCACATGACGCAATGCTCATGCTGGGTCGTGGGAATCCTACCCGCTACGCGCCGTAACTACAGCCATCTATTTCCAGCCTCATGCTGGCTTGGGGCGTCTTTTGTGGCTTGCCTAGGGGGTTCGCCCTCCCTTCTCGAACAACCTTATGAATGCCGTTGGAGGATAATCAAGCGCTTGCCGGGCGCAGTGTCTGAGGGTGAAAAATTGTTTGTCTTGCTAGCCACAAATTCGTGTATGTCTGTGTGTGTATGCGCGTGTGCAAGTGAATCAATCGCCTCTTCCGGGAACCGACAGGGGCCGACATGTCTTGTGAGGCCAAAACATCCACCCAACCGAATGCTGCTGCCCGCCGGACGAGGCAACGTGCTGTCGCAGGCGGACCGCTCCCGTGTGTTCACTGCCGTGCCACATTGTCCATGTTTCTTCTTCTTTTGACAGGTTTGGTAGTCAAGTGTCCAGTAGGCCAAACTTTCGGTCGCATGCTGATGTTCTTTCTTGCCGCCCCAGCCCCATTTTGAAACCATCTCTCGGGGTCCAAGAGGCATTGTTAGAACACAAGAATAAGACGGGACAGAAGAATAAAACGGGATGCTTGAGTGCGGCCCGACATCAAATGCAAGTGTCCCGCGAATGTGGCTTGACTATGACAGGGGACACAAGAAAAATTCTGAGCCTGCCCTGCCAATTTGCTTTCTCAAGCTGTCTGGCAGTGAAAATTCTTTTTCCCGTATCTTGCATAACATGGACAGTCAATTCACCGACATTGGTTTTGCATATCTAAGGCAGGTATCCGTAGCGACTTGCAAAGCACGCGGATTAGAGTTTAAATGATTGAATTGATATCTCCACAATGAGGAGCTATTGACAGGGAGAGTGTTCGTGAGAGTCGAGATGCCCGACCTTGCGAACTGGGTTGCTGCTTCACGCAGTCTAGAAAAATCCGCATGCGATACTCCATCATCGTAGGTTGCTAAGAAGGAAATAAAAAAAAAAAGGTTGATGAATAAACCAGCATACTGGTGAACGGAATAATAGAAACAGGTCATGGTGTCTCTCAAAGCTCTATTCTGCTGGAGTCGTTGGCAATGATAATGCCATAGAAGAGAAGCGGAACGGCAGGCGTGAGCCTCATAATATGGTCGAGTCCGGTAGAAAGAAGCTCTTCATAGTCTTCTTTCCCTCGGCTTTATGTCTACTTTTAGGCCGTCGTCGAATCTAATGCCCAAGAGACCGTTAGTTGGCGTCTCACCGAGTGATGAGTCTGTAACGGACCTACGATTTCCCTTGCTTCTGGCAGTTGAAGCAAGTGCCATCTTGGCTTTGCGGCTTGTCTACGACACCTCCGCAATGGCCGTGAGAGCTGCACGCATATACAGGCCGTGTCTCGGTGCAGCCACAACCCCATGTGATGATAACTCTGGAGCACATTTTGGCTAGAGAAGGAATCTTCTCCGTGGAAAAAAGAGGAAGAGGAAGAAGAAAGAGAAGAAGAGTCGAAGCTGTTGTGAGAAGGTCTCTTGGGCCGCGAGCGGTGGGCTTCTAAGTAAGGCTTTGTTTTTTCTGCGTGTAAAGCTCGATAGTGACGGGCGAAGACTCGTCTTGCAATGAAAAAGCTGGACGAAGGACTGGTTTCTTAGAGGTGACTGGTAAGAGGGATGGTCTCGTATGTTGTATAGTTGTTGTTCTGGCTGGATGAAGAGTGTATTGTTTGGAAGCTCGAGTCAGGATATGTCGTCTGTCTTATATATCGTCGTGACACAAGCTCAAGACTGGCTATTGGCTTGAAATCGACTGTCGGGAGTGGGCTGACTTGTTTGCCATCGTCAAATCTGCCAGTCAAGCGAAGGAGGACCAACAGGTAGCTATCACACCGGTGATGCCAAATGTAAGTAGACGCAGCTTGGCTGTTGGTTGCTCGCCAACGCGTCAAAGTTTCTCTGTTCTGGTGTTGGAAGATGCCAGTCGGGAGATAGTGGTGCGTCAAGCGTCTGTCTGGCAAGTCTTCAAGTTGACGCAAGGGAGGGCTGTAACTTGGTGGAGGGAAGTAATGTGGAAGATGCAACGGGTCGTGAAAATGGCTTGTACCTTGCAAGTCGATGTACCTGGGAGAGATGCTGGCTGCGGGTGCGGACCGGGCAGATGGGTTGTTTGATCCGCCCCTTTGCAGGAGGTGGTCGACAAGCTGCCTGGTTGTGGAGATGCTTTGGCGGCCGTGGAGAAACCAGCCTAATCCGACTCAGCTCAGGCCGTTGGCTCTCCCGCACAGGGCTAACAAGCACCCGTGTACTTCCAACGCACAACGGTGCAATGGTTGGTCGACTGGGTGAAAGATTCTGGCCTGTCTTTTTGCCCTTTTGATAAGTCGTACGCTAGTTCGAAATGAGACGTGATAGCCGGGTACTGTCCCGCCTTGTTGTGTTGGTAAGACCAGGGTATCACGCAGGCGGCCTTTCTGGAAGACAATGGGTGTTGTTGGACGTGATATCCACTTAGAACGGAAGAGCCCCCAATATGCACCTCAGAGGCGCAGCCCAGCCAAAGTTGGGTCTGTTGACGCAATGTCTCGTTTTTCTGGTGTTCCGTCTCGAGTGCTGTATGGGCAACGCGTGACCCAAGATGTTGGTTTCGACGACTACGTTACTGAGCCGGCTCAACGTCTGGCAGGTGGTTCTTCAAGAGTCTTTTGTGGTGGGCTGCCAAGGCATGACAATGTCATCCAAATGTAGTTTCTGGAGAGGAAGAGGAAGAAAGAGGAAGCGAGAAAGTGTGTGTAGGAGAGAGAGAGACAGAGAAAGAGAAAGATGGAAGACGCATGTCCTCAGCCGCCCCGCCCGGTTCAATGACTGACTGGTGACGGGTATTCGGGGCAGGGTAGGGCAGGTAGGTGCACCTCTCGTGTGTTCCCATTGTCGCATGGCACCCACTGGCCGCACTTTCTATTGGGGAACGTGGGAACACAGAACATCGGCCACTTGGACCAGGGATAGCTTGGCGTGGCAGCATCAGCAGTAGCAGCAGCAACCAGCACTGAGCTCTGTGCAGGGCCTACTGGTGCCGTGCCGTATGGTCAGTCCCCTCAGCGTGAGGTAGGGCAAGCATAAGTGCCTACGAAGAATGGGTGACCCATGTCCCTGTCTTGAGTTGTGATTGTCCTCGACCTGATGGTGTCGGGAGACCCCTCGTGGACAGTTAGTTCCTAGTGCGTCCCAAGCCGACTTCACTGTCAAGCGTAGAGATGAGCCGCTGTGTTGAGTGGATCGTTCAGACGATGTCGCACATGAGCGATCCGCGTCAAGCCCTGTTTATTAGTCTAGCTTGGGCAAGACCGTTCCGTTGATGGCGCCCTTTGTGTCCGCCAAAGCTAAGGTATTTCCCATCTATCCATAATGCGCTGCCGATTCTCTAGGCACCTTGTCCTGATCATAAGGGCGAACAGGTACCGTTAGATCGCTCGCGGATTTAACTCTCCCTGCCGGAGTTATTCCAACCCACAGGGGGCAATGCTACCGCAAGGAAGACGTTAGATTGAACATCAGCTTGTCCAGACACGAGCATCCAATTCAATGACGGAGCCGCACCACAGGCAGGCGTAGAGGCACTGAGATGCTCCTCCGCTCCGAGTTGGAACGGCGGAGAGTGCAAGTTGGGGGTCAAAGCAAGCATGCTACTGGGACAGACAGCCATACGACAGCGGCATGAGGAAGTTGCAGTAGAACAGCGGCCGCTTTCAAACGAAGTACTTGATTATGACCCTGTCTGGCTACATTTCAAATTGGATCAAAGAAGCAGAGACAAAAGGTGTCAGTAGAATGGTCGATCGAGCTGCCGGTCGACGTATTCATCGATATCCGCATCAATGTCCCTGACCAGATTGCCAACCCTGCTCCAGCCGAGTCCATGTTCAGGCTTGGGTCTAGGTCCAATTCCGCGTCCAAGTTTAGGTCCCGGGATAGGCATAGGGTTCCTGAGGCGAAACTGAGTCCACGTGGAGTAATAAAGGTAGTTCGGCGGCGGGACGCCTTTCCACCTAGACGTATCCGTCGTCTCGTACTAAACCCTAGACGGTCCATCATGTTCGTGACGAATTGAAGACAGCAGAATTGTGAAAACAGGACAGTTCCCTAGATGAGAACGGGCGCTGGAACAGGTCATAGTGACAGTAGTAGAGCGAATGCCACGATTGACCAGGGGTTCACCTAAAAGAGTGGAGTCGACATCTGGGGCGTGGCTCTTGCAAGAAGAAGATGCCAAGAGGAAAGGTCGTCACGTCCCTCATCGGTCCATGTTCTTGTTGTTCCTTGCGGAGGACAGAATACGCCACATAGATCTATGGCCAAGACCAGGACAGCCTAATGAGGTTCAAATATGGGCCGGCTGAGGCTAAGAGCGGGCGAAACTCGGCTCGGTTGGGGTCGCCAGACTTGTCCGTTGGGGTGCTCACGGTGTGATGTGAGAGTGCAGGGGCGAAGGATGTGAAGTGCCCGTCTGAAGGTGTCGGGAGGTTTCCTTGTAGCCAAGGACGGCGAGGGCGAGGCGAATGCAAACCCGAAGCGCGATGCTTTCAAAAAGGAGAAACCTTGACCTTGCGCAGATGAGATGCAGAGAGGGAGGGCATGCCCGCCGTCAGGGCCCGAGGAAGCTAAGCCGGCCATAAACGTGGCCGGCGACAGTGTCCGAAAGAGCCCGATGGCTTGATCGGGGGGCACATGGCGTTTCCTGGGCTGTGGCTGGCAAGGAATGAGAAACCACTGACCGGGTTGAGTTGATGAACTAGGTAGCGGTGGGTTGGGTTGGGATGTGTGGTGTTGCCGTTAGTGTGGGAGAGAGAGAGAGAGAATGGAGGAGTATCCGTAGACGGGAGCAGAACAGAGTAAAGCAGGCGAAATGAAGTTGCCAATTCGGGACAGGCTACGCACTGTAAGATATGTCGTAAAGTGCGGTGAGAGGACAGTGCGAAAACTGCATGAGGCGTTGGTTCGGTGTTGGTGGGAACTGACCGAGTGGACAAGGAAGCAAGTGACAGATCTGGGCAACTGCATTTGTGAAATGACCTCGATGTGATTTTGTTGAATTTTTTCTCCCTCTTTTCTTCCTTGAGCACTCTTTTGCTGCTCTGCTCTGCTCTGCTCTGCTTCTTCCTTCCCTGCATCTCCCGAATGTTGCTGCTCGTCCCTGTCATCTCGCCTGCCACTTCCTTTCTCATCACCAACCACAGTGATTTCGTTTGCTGTCTTTTTCAAACTGCCATCAAACATCCCATCTTGCCATTTGGAATGGTTCGTACAAGTTCCCAACGGCAAAGTATTGCAGTCACAATATTGGCACGGAAGCAAACCAGTCTCCGCCTTTTCCATTGTTGCCGTCAGACGATGCCAACACAATGTGCTCCACGTCTATGCTTTGCGTCCCTATCTCGCCCTCGTTTCCCCCTTACCTCTCTATCCCTTTACTCACTCATGTTCAATTCCCCCTTCATCTCCAGCTTCTACTCGATGGCTTGTCGTTGAATTTGGCGAAAAGGAAAAAAGGTACGTATACTGTCCTTTTCTCTTTGTGTTTGAGGCGGTTGAGAAATGTGTAGGTTTCTTGCGTTAGAGAATGCAAGCCACCATCGAATGAGGAGGACTACGTAGCAACTTAGCCTTTTTGAGATGAATGACTACACCATATAGTTGAGGTCATCGCGCCAACGTCTCCAGCTAATCGGATTAGCTACGCACTATTTTAGTGCACCTCGACATACGTCCGTATGCTAGATTAACCAACTCCCTCTCCGTAGGCTAAGCTGCCTCGACTTATCCTCCAGTGTTCTTCGAGTCTAAATCTCTTCAAAGACCCTGCCGAATTGGAGCTAGCCACTATAATACGGCCGTTGGTACAGTGTCGACTCCCCGCTCAGCCTGTTGATGGCAAGCCTACTGTAGAGCTGGACGGCTATTCGAGCAGTCTTCACTCCGTCTCCGATGCCAACGGCCCCGTATGCCAAACGGGGCTTGTCAGAATCATACACACCATCATACCTCGTCACTCTCCCGTCTTCTGCGCCTTTCGGAAAATGTCAAGGGACTCTTCATCGGCGTGGCGTGCTGATGCAACAGCACCTCATCGTCAACGGCGTCGCAACCTAAGGCACAATGCGAAATAGTCGCAACGGTGGCGCCTCTCAACTCCAAGTCCGAGCTGGCAAAGTACCTCGAGCCTGCAAGCCACACCCTCTTTCTCGTAAATCGAACCATTAATGCCTGCTCCTGCGTCCCGGGCAAACCGAGGTGAGGGGGCGCGCTCGTCCACTTAGTCTCCTCCATGGTCGTCTGGAGGCGAACATCATGGCAAACCACCGTTGATGAAGAGTAACCCCGACCCCGTGGCTACCCTGTATCTGGAGCACTGGCTCTGTCATCTATGTCCGAGTCCTGAGAAGAAGCTGCTTCACCGCAAGACCCTCTGGCCCACAGTCAAGGTGATGTATTGGTTCAATTGCTGGGGTTCCCAGCTTGCTAGGACCTTACCACTGTACCATACGGGACTCCAACACACCACAGTGTCTTCATGCGGCCTTGCGCGCGGCCTATCATTACCGACAGTTTGACTAGGCAAGCATCTTTGAACACCCCAACACTCCTTGTGCCTGCAGCATACCTCACATGGCCATCTGGCCTGCCAATCATTCCGAACAATGGGGTACCGCACCCCTTGGTCCCGGTCGCCTCACTTCCATCGATGTTCGATGGACTGCCGTCCTCCTCTTGAGCCAAGAAAACTTCCCCCTTGGGCACGTCACTTGTGGGAAGCCAAGTGGTTAGTCCAGCTAGGTACACCGATTTCATGGCGGTGAAACAGACCTCGTTCCCCCTTTTCATACCCGCCTAGAAATACGACATCTTGGGCCAGGAGATCTCTTCAATTCCAAAAGCCCATCGCAGCCCAACGGGCTCATGTTCGGACCAGACCCTGTCCAGTCAGCCCCTGTAGGTAGACTTGTTTGTTATGTAATCTAGATGACGGGCTTGAGATCTGTTTAGCTACGGGTCATTCTAAAGGTGAGTTGACATCTCAATGAAGGAGTTTCTGCATCAACTCAAATACTCCCTGCTTGCGCTCTCTTGGACAAGGGGGCATACATTTGTCATGACCAGGCAACGAGACGGACATCGGGACGACTTGACAACCGAGTGCCTTCGACACGCATATCTTTCACGTTCTTGACCACATCAGGAAAGGGCAAGACGTTATCCCATCACTCCACAGTCGAGCTCCGCAACTTCTTCTCTAGGACTTGGAGAGCAGATACAGGGGTGTTTTTGCGAATTATTGCATAGCTGCATATCCTTTTTGCTGGGCTTCACTCACGACTGGTATTGAGTTGAGTATTGACAAGATGTACCAACATCCCTGTCCGAGTGAGCATGCAAGTGGCGGCTGGGCAGAGCTCGTTTATGATTACGGGTGCCGCCATTCACAACCAACTGGAACACTGTCGCGGCATGAAAGCAAGACGGCACCATCAGGCGCCATTGTCGACCGTTCCAACAGGTTCATCGCGGGAAAATAAGCAGAATGCCCCGCGAAGTCGAGCATGGCGCAGATGTTGTTGTTGGACTGTCCGTCGACGAAGCGGGCGAGGTGTGATTGAGTCGCATGCCAGCCAATCACCAATACGAACCCCCCTGTTATAAGCGCCTCGTGGGACTCGCGGCTTGGCCCGACTTGACTGACGACCACTCATTCTTCCGGTAGCCGCCCATGACGGCGGCTCAAATTCAATAGCGTTCGTCCAGACTTACACGCTTTTTGCCGCAAGAGTCGACCGTTTTTCAACTTCTTGCCAATATTGCCAGCGAATCTCACGCGGAAAGCGTGACTGCTGCAGATGGTCAAGTTGCAACGCAATACTTCGAAAGCGGTCACTCGACAGGGATGCTTGGGTGTTAGTCCCCTCGACAGGACAATATGGAGGGGAGATCAGGAAAGGTCAAGGAATCCGTAGGTCTTGACCGGGCATGCGGGCATGGTCCAGATGACATCTGCACCTTGTCGGTGCCCGTCACCAACCGGATGTCATCAGCTCCTAGCGTTGATGAAGCATATGCGGAAGGACGTATCCGTAGGAGACGGACTGCGGATGTTCTAGCGGTCAAACTCGCTCTATGGGCCGTTGATCCCGATGTAAGTTACCTCGATTGTCCTGCCCCCTATCCGTACCAAGACCACATCAACATGGTACTAACCCTGATCAAGGGTGGATATCATTCATCACAGCCCGCGGATGGATGTGCCTCTCCCCCTGACGAAGGTTTCCACACACCTTCTAGGAACGGAAAGGAAGCTGGACTGCCATTACGCATCCCTGGAACGATTCTCGCGAAGTCCCTTTCTTCGTACAGTACTTCGGCCATCCACACGCAACTTTCCCATCATGTGTCCACTAATGCAAGTTGGAATCACCCAAACTGCGGCGCATTTGTGACGAAGATTTGAGGGGAAGAGTTGTAGCAGCAGCAGAAGCAGCAGGCAGGCAGTGAGGTGCCTTCTCGTGTTGGTGGCAACACTTCGTCTTCTCATGCAACGTCTCGATGCTTCCCCCCCATCACCGCTTCTTTCACACGCCATACACGCCATGCACACCACCACAGCCCATGTCGTGTTACCTCACGCACCGCAATCACCTCTCTCTCCATGCCAGGGTTCACGATGGATTCTGCGGGCGGCCCGCCGGTCGCATGCGAGGCAGGCTTCGACACCCTTCTTCGCCAACTGCCTTCGATAGCTTGGCTTGAAGCTCGATCGAGAAGCGGAGTCGTATCGGTTGACTTCAAGGAACCCTGGCTCTCTTTCTCTGGTACGACGACCTCCGTTGGAATACCCCCTCCGAGATTACAGAAAGATATCGAGCAACGGATTGGGCCTCTTGGGGAAATGATTTGCCTTTTGGAGCTGCGGTCGAGGAGGGAAAGAACACGTTTGCGGAAGAGGGGATGAGAGTACCTTCGGCCCGGATGAGAGATGAGAGGAGGAGAAAGGGGAGAACGGTGGAACGAGGCAAAGGTTTGCCTGAGGAATGCTCGCTAGAGTCTGGTCCCAAAGTCAGCATATTCTTTGTCTCCAAAACCCGGGCTGTGTTTGAAGGCAGCAGAAAACAAGGCATTGTCCAGAGAAATCTTGTTTGAAATACGTCAGGGTTTGTCCTCCTTGTTGTCGAAAGAAATTCTGGCAAACATGACGAGCGAATGGGCCGAACGAGGCGGTGTCTGTTCCTTGATGGCAAGGAGTAAAAGGTATGAAAACCTCTCAGCTTGTTTCTCTTCACCATCCAGAAGACAGGATGCCATGGTATCTCCCTTCTCCTCCGGCGTTTGCCTCATTCTCCCTTTCGCTTTGTTCTTTGCTCTTCCTTTGCCTTCTACACTGAAAGGCCTCTGTCTGCCCAAGCGGGATTAGAACACCATCAGGGCTAACACAAGAAGAAACGTTTGAAGTCAAACGTTGATCGCGGGGAAAACACCAAATCATGAGCAAGACACTCACTCGTCGGACTGCACCCCGCGGAAGGATCAAAATGCTATTGCTAGAGAATATGCAAGCAATGGCGATCTCAGGATTTTGCCTTCTTCCCTCCCGAAACGCTCGTTGAATCCTACGAACTACACACACCACATGGCACATGGCTGAAGGGGCAAAGACAAAGCCAGAAGGATCTGAACCCGCCCGCGCCCGCGCTCTCGCGCCGCGCCGCGCCGTGCCACAGCGTGTGTGTATGCTTTCCCGCCGGGGCACAGCAGGAACCAACGGGCGGGTTCTAGCCAGCGGCACGGTGGTGATGACGGGCCGGCTAGTCTCGGGGTGTTGTGTCCACTTTGCCGCAGACTGTGCCCGGCCGAGTGCGAGCCAGGCAGAGTATGTTACCTACGCTTGGATACCTTGTACCGAGGCCCAAGAGGAAAACGAGGTATCCATTTCTTGTTGCCAACCATGTGCGGGGGAGAGTGACAGAGCGAGTGAGAGAGAGAGAGGGTGTTGCCGAAGGTTCTCGGATGCGGAAGGATGAGGAAAGTCACGGCGTTGAACGTCCCCGGCGTCCCCCGCGAATTTCCCCCACCTCGGCGTCACATCCGAAAGGATCCATGCAGTGACGTTGGCTCCTTTTCCCCGGATCATGAGATGGGCAATTTGTGGTCGGGTTGTCTTGCGATGGAGGGAGGGAAGGAGGGAAGGCCCCAGCGCCGGTTCTCGTGGTCCCTTCCGAGAAATCCTCTTGCGGCCTCCGACGCGGCCAATGAGGAGCCACCCGCTCCCCGGGACCCGGGGCAAGAACCTTGGCCCCCCTTCGGCTTCCTCTTTTACTTTCCCATTCCATTTTCGAACGACGTTGGAGAATTGGGAAAGAGCCTCAATTGGGGCCGACCGAGGCTTTCTCCACTTTCCCCGGATATTCCAATTGTTCTCGATATCAGATCTGGCGATGGCGAGGGCATTCACAACACAACCACAAACTTGGTCATCTTGAGCAGGTTGCGGCAAGCCTTCGCGCCTAACATGTTCCCCACGCCCACTCACGACTTTGGAGTACCCACACTCTGCACCAACCCCCTGCGCCTTTCTTTACTTATTTTTATTTTATTCGCAGCGAGTTTGCTTTTTTCGCGGCGGCGGCGGCGGCGGCGGCGGGTGTCTCGCGTTTTTTTTTTTCTCTTCTCGCTCTCAAGCGCACCAACCCCACGTCAGCTGCGGATAAGGCAAGAGAGACCTCACAAACTTCTCCAGCGCTGCTGTCGCGACATGGAGCTCAGCCAATTACAAGTCCACGTGCATCAACGTTCCCGCTCTGGAAGCTTCAGGATGTCTCTAGCTTCTGGGTCTGGATGCAAGTTTCTAGAAAAAGCCACCGAAATAATTATTAAACCCCCCTCCCCAACAAGGGCCGATTTGATACTTGGTTGATAAGGGTTTCAGAAGCGACCGCAGCAGAAAGACTGTGGAGGCCCGTATTTCCTACTATTTTTGTGCCGCTTGGCTACTCCTTTTCCTAGATCTGAACTATCTCGAGGACTCCAGTCCGAGAATCTCATGCTTCTTGGCGGGTTTAGGAAACTTCTCTGGATCTAAATGCGTGAAGCAAAGTCACAATACGCCCCCCCCCCCCCCCCATGGCCGCCCCGAGGAGTGACTGAGAGTTGAGACGCTCGGATGCCCAACCCCCATTCATCTGTTGCAGAACACCTCAATTCAAGCGCGATAAGGTCGAAAGCGGAGCCATTCGCATAGAAACACACCTTGCGGAGTAGAAAATCAAAATTTAGATCTCTTGGCTGGACGAGCTTTTTGTTTGAGAAGATCAAAATACAACACCATCCCGGTCTACCCACGTCGCGCGCAAGAGTCTTCGGTCTAATTAATTGATTCGTACCCTTTATGGCACCTTACTAGCTTGTTCTACTACCCACCGCAAAGAGTCTCAGGCAACTCTCTACGACGACGGGTACGGAGTATGGACATAACAATAGCACCTCATTTTTGCCCGTGCATGTGTCATGGCTTTCGAGAAACGCCAGATCCCGGCATTTCCTATTTTGTGCAATGCCTGCTCGTTCTGGACCTGTGACTATCGTATTGCCCGCCGCAATCACGCCCTCCTCTGACTTCTCACCATGGCGTTACCGTAACATGATGTCTCTGGTCTGTGTGTCTCTGTACCGCCTGCTGCGTCGTCCAAACACAGTCGCCCTCTGCCCAGACGGCCGATCCGGGAGATGCACCTTTGCTGCGTACGACGCGCGCCATACACAATTTCTCATTTCTTGACAAGAGCAGTGCACGATAGGCAGCGTGCGATACGATACGATGCGGTGACCCTGCCCCTCCCCCTCCCTCCCTCCATGTCCATCGTCCGCTCGCCCCCCTTCCCGGTCCCCCTTCTCCATCTGCGACCGAGGACCCCCAGTATCAACCTTTTTCTGTTTTTGTGAGCAAACCCGGCTTGAGACGGCACCCACCGTGTGACCCGGCAAGTCACCCGTCACCTTACCTCTGAAGTCTTGCCCGTGGGCCGGGTGGAAGGGGTGGTGTTCTGCGACCAGGTCAGCCAGGCTCACACCTCCCGTGTCCTCCGGTGCAATCCAAACTTATAAAGTTGGACGGCCCTCCCCTCCCATCCCTTACCTTTCTTTCTATCTGTATCCCAACGCTCTCATCCTTCCTCGACTCTACTCGCCAAAACTCTCAGTGTCTTTTAAAAGCAGTTGATCTGTTCTCCCACACGCCGATTGCCAACTCTCGCAACCAACATCCGAACCCGCACCAAAAGAAAACAACAACCAAAAAAACAACATATACAAAAATGTCTTCTCCCGTCGACAACTCCGTCTTCCTCTCCCTCGCCCCCACCACCTCGTCCTCCTACCCCTTCAGACAGCAGCAGCAGGCCGCCGCCGCCGTCGCCGCCACCACCACCGAGCCGGCGCCCCTCAAACGCCGCACCTCGAGCATGAGCAGCGACGGCAGCAACGGCCTCCGCTTCCTCAAGCTCGGTCCCGTCCACTACGGCGAGCACCCCGACGAGCACAAGTCTGACTGGCACCCTGCTCTTCTCGGCTAGGACGCTCATTTCAACGATGATGATTCTTCTTCCTTGAATTGTTTTTTCTTTTTTCCACATCATTAAAGCAAGCCATATTCATGATTTTTCCAAATCCTATCAAGCCATCAAAGTCTGGATACCAAAGGTGCAGGAAACCGACAAGGCAGTTTGTGCCCAAAAACAAGCGATTAGACGAGCTAAGGGGAGCTCTGGGAGGATGAGCAATAGGCGCTGGATCATTTTTCATTTTCTCGTTTTTACCATCGTTGAGTACAACACCTGAAGAAAGTAGGGCAGATTGTCTCTTGGGCCGGGAGGAACAACTTCACAACCCCCCATACGATTATAGAGTCTTGGGGAAAACGGGACGGAACACGGGACCAATTCACACAGAAGAAGAAAAAAAAGAATACTAAATTGGAGTTTTTGACGGAAACAGATCATTACGTGAAGATTCGCTATGTCCGCATGTGCTGAGAATCCTATTATGTGAGCCTGGTACGATTGCCAAAAGCTGCTGAACTGGACCGGACCGGTCTCTTCTCTTACAACATACAGTCGGCAACAAGCGGATGAAGAAAAAAAAACTCCGTCATGCAGCCCAGACTACAGAGATTTGAGGGGACGACTAGTGGCGTGGTGGGCACATCACCTCAGTCTGTCTTTGGCCGTGCCGCATTCTCGGGAAGCCTACGAGTAGGTACATTACACATTGCCGGGCTACGCGGATCAGGGAAGGGAAAGGAGGAAGGACTTTGAGGAGCGAGAGCGACATGGCGTGGGAAGAGAGGGCCAGGAGGCTCGGAGCTGTCAAAGTCGGGGGACACCAATTCGCCGAGACATCCCCTGCTCCCTGGAGGTTGCTTGGAAATACAGTCATTGTAACATGACTATCTCTGCGCGCACTTACAAGTTCCAGACAGAGAAGAGAGAGAGAAGGAATGGGAATGCACGACAGAGAGGGGAGGGAAAGGGAGCAAAGACCAAGCTTCTGTGATGTGGACCGCTCTTCATGCAATGATCTGACATGCTAAACCGACCGCCCCCCGCTGACCAAGGTGGGATAAGTGGAAACCAGTAGAACGCGTCGTGTTTTGTTAATCCGGGCTGGCGGATTGGGGAAATGATTGCTGATTGTGCAAAGACAGAAAGTCTGGGGGAGAGACAGCTCATCGGCACACACTTTGATTTGCGAGACCTCTCAAAGGGTGTGGGGGTGATGGTTTCGATTGGAGTAAGCCGGCACGGTTTTTGCCTTGATTTGCGCAACGTTTGCGTGCGTGGAATGACAACGAACGAACAGAAACGCAAACGTTGTTGCTATCGAGTCTCTCTGCCCTGTTTGATTACTTGGACTCGTTGCCACGACGAGAGCGCGCGGGTGGAATGGAGGGGGAGGGGGGCACCGAGGGTCGATTTCCTGGGAGGCGGGGGAGAGAGAGAGAGACAGACATCTGCTTTCGACGAGACGCACGTGGGGTAGAGACTGGGTATCACGACCGGGGTGTCACGGTGCGTTGATTTCCTGGTCTATGCCGAGGCTGAGCGGGTTCGATAGTTTCACAGACTAGTTTTCTCCCCCTTCTCTTTGATTCCTTGGTGATTCTTCTCAATTTTCACAATGTGCCATAAAGGTGGTGTTGTTGTAGGTGGTAATTATGACGTGCAAACTTGGCGTGGGTAGAGAAGGGTTGTATCAAAGTCTAGTCTACCTTAGAGTTTCTCTATGAAATGGGGGGGAAAGGGGACTCGGGAGAAGGGGGGGGGGGGGGGGTTGCTAGCACCTGGAGTTTAATCGCAGTCGCGCAAGAGACTCGGACTTGGTTCGCGAAATTCCCGAGGAGAGGGTCCTGCTGCTGAAGAGTGCCAGAAGACAATTGAGAGAGTTTCGGAGACGACTCTGGCACTTATGCGGACGTCATATCTGGTTCGCCTGTCTGCGAGTCAAGCTCTTATCTTGCGTGACCGACTTGGGGTTTACCTTGCTTCCCGTCTAGTCTGGCAACTTTTGCTAGTTTGTTTGGGACGCGCGCCTAATTTGCCCTTTTGCACACACACGTATTTCACTGGCATGTTTTGTTTGTCGGGCTTCTGCTCAATCTCCGACACGCTGGTCACCTGTCACCGTTGTCAGGTAAATGAAGAAAGCGAAAAGGTTTACGGAGTAGGTGGGACGAGAAGGAAGATCGACGGGGCTTTGCATCTGGCATGTGACCGCCCTTGGCAGGCCTGCCGAGCCCTTCAACCCTGCTTCGCAATTACCGCTTCTGGAAAGTCCTTGGGCTTCAGATTTGATACAACCCGCGCGACTGAGTCGAGTTGAGAGGGTTAGCACCCGAGGCCACCACAGGCGAGAAAGAGATGAGCGAGAAGCTCTACGGATTGTCCGTGGATGATACAATCTGAGCCTCTGTTGACGTCACAAACGATGATGAGACGAGTTGTGTGCCTGCCTGCCTGCCTGCCTGCTTGTCCAAACATATGCTGGTACTCGTTGGCATATGGCATCTTATCTGGGACTTGACGACTGTGCCTATCAAGGTGCCCCTTGAACGGCGCACAGAGATGCTGAAAGGAAGCATACGGTTTGCAACTCGAGAATGGGGGGTTTTCGCAGTGTACCTGACCAACCGCGGTGGCAAGACCAGCGTGGCAGGCAAACTCAAGCGGCGAGCGGGCCGGGCCCGGCCCTCCGACACGCGCCAAGATTGGACGGGACGAAAGATGTGCAATGCCGGCCGCTTGTCGTCCCAAGTCTACCGTGCCTCCTTGTCTGATGATTTATCGAAATAGTAGCAAGCGTTTACAGCGAGGTGCACGATAGTCCGTCCGTACGGTTATAGCCGACCAGAGAACCCAAGATGAAGCGCGATGACCAGGCAAAAAGGCGCTATAACCACTGGAAGGCCCCCCCGGGACAGCAGCCGATTCGTGAGGTTTCACGCCAAGCTGACTTATTGTTCGAGCGACAATGGCAATTGGTGGTCCCCAGACACTGAGACTCGAGAAAACCAGGGCGTGGGGGGGCCTTTTTCTCGGGGTGGGATGTATTGCTGATCCACAAGGTTTTGAAGCAATCTATCTTCTTGGCGGTTTGGATGCGCTGGCCTCTGCGAAACGGTCCTTGCGGCGCAACAAAGGGGGGTGGACTTGATGACTACCTAGGGAGGGAGCATTGGGGGAGATCTTTGTTTCTATGTAAAGATCCTCCCGTCTTGGGGAGGAGATGGCGTAGCATTCGGACACGGCGTGAGGCTCGTTCCCTCGTTTCGGGGGCCATTCTTAGACCTGAGGCAACGGGATTGTGGATTTGGGGTCGGGGGGTTTCTGGTGTTTTTGGAGACGGGGGAAGGGGAAGAATTGGTCCGTGGCTAATTCTATGGACAAAACACGCCGCTCCGGAAATAATCACGGCCCCACTCGGGGCCATGCCGGGGTCGGGGCCCGGGCCAGAGCCATCGGTGAACTCGCTTGGAGCATGCATAAGCCGTCTCTCTAGACCACATGTGTCTGGGACGGCGAGTTCAGTCTGGCTACGTTCGCCTTGAACTGATCAACGCTGCCAGGGCCGGAAAGATGATGCAGGGATACTTTTAGGCAGAGTATGGGTAGCAAAGATTACTCGTGGCTAGCCTACCGCGGCGCCTACATTCAAGACTCAAGGTAGTAAATCCAAAAGGCGTTCTGCTTTCCCAAAGAGCAGACTGGGATCCACTGAAAGTGATGTACCAATTTTACCGTCTGGGTTACCAATGTACAGAGAAGGCTTTGGATTGTCAAATTTTTATGTGTTGTGCCCCATCGAGGTACTTTATGGCAACAACAGTTGTATGTGCCACCTCAGCGTGGTCAACAGTCTTATGCTTCTCCTTAGTATATCGTACCTTTCCTTGGTGAACTGCACGCAGCAGGAGACCAGTAACACACCGCCGCTCGGCTTCTCGAAAACGAGGGTGCTCTCAGGAGAATGTTTCGTGTCGCTAGTAGGGGACTTGGCCCTAACTATACTACACCCAGACCAATCGACACGGCGAATTGGTTATACAGTCAGTCTTCAATCGTCATCCTCATGTGCTTGATACGGTGCGAATAAACCTCGGCAACGGGCGGTTCTCAGAGAGGCGAAGGGCAAAGTGTCTGTCCTTGATGGTATAGAATCAGCAGCGGAAATCTCCCGAATCCCCTGGCGAGTGAGTTTCTCCGATTGGTAAGAACCAGCGTTCTTCCACCAGGCGAAATTCCTCCGGCCGCAGACGTGGCTGTCTTCCGTGTGGCGTCAATAGATTCCCGGATCAAAGTTTAAGAGAATAAATACCAGGTCAAACCGTATGCGAGAGCTTGCTTAAGAACTTGGTTGTGCTTCATTATAGAGCTCATTTATCACCTCGTTCGGATTGATAATTCAACATAGGTTCCGAAGCTTCGTCAGCTGGATTCCCGTCACGCTGAGGGCCATTACCATAGCCCGTAAGGCGCTACTTCTGTTTGTTAAGAAGCTGTAGGCAAGCCTTGGTTGCTGCAATGTTGTCGGATGAGATTTGAATCCTGCATGTAAACGATTTCAATGGGATAGAAACATCCGTCTACTAACTCAACGACAAAAAGATCGCAAAGCAAACTGGAGAATAAGATTACCTCATCTCATGGCGTTCTACCTTTGCAATATTGCTATCCCAACAGCATGGTGCAGTCAACCATCTTATTGTCAAAAAACCAGCGTCGAGGTCTTTTTCACAAACTTGAGCTTAGTGAATGACAGTCATGGATATCAATAAGATACACATCTTTCCCCCATTTTCGTGTTTATATCTTTCGATAGCTATCGTTGTGGCCATGGGGAGGTCATTTGCAAGCATTTGCTGAGTGGAAGTATCCTCAACAGAATTTCGAATTCTTGGTAGCCAAAGCACTCGTCTCCAGTACTCAAAATCGGCAAGAGATTGAAGAAGGCTCTGCAGACTATTGAGATGTGGTGAGAAAACGAACGTCGTCACGTGGAGGACCCAATTTTGCACCGGTCTAGATAGGAAGCTCACCATGGTGCCTGCCTGCCTCAAGAGTATATACCCCAGTCCCTTTCCTCTTCTTTTTTTGTCCTCCCTCAATCTCAATATTCTAAGCCGTAGTCCTCACAGGCAACATATTCCCTTTCCATTCTAGCAACAAATATCGGGCCTGGTGACCGAGTGGCGAAAGCCGTGAAGTGCTGACTATTGCGTGATGTTCCGTACTCTTCAGGGCTCCTGCGTTCAATTCTCGGTCGACTCCTTTTTTGTTGCCTTTTTCTTTGATTACTGCCTGAAGCTAGTCTTGCATTTTGTTGGTGTACTTTAGGCCGTGGATACGTGTGCTCAGACGCATCTCCATACTCGAAGGCAGAACCTCCGTTGAATCGAGGTCTCGAGGACGGTTTGCTATGACTTATCACGCAAGCTCCAGCAAGCACAAACCCTGGACTTTCCCCAGGGACTAGAAGCAAGATGGCTTCAAACTGTTGTTGTCGCACTGCATTCTATTGAAGGAAGTTGGCGCCTAATCATGTAGGCGTCGATGGACGAGTTTTATTCTCGCTGACAACTCTGAAGAGCAAATTGATACAACTCGCGCCTTGCAGCGTGATACCGATGCAACCTAATGACTAAAAACAATCCCAGCCGTCATACCCTTGAAGACAGGGTTCCCAAAATGCCACTGAGCAATCAAACAACCACCCGAACGATGCTGAGCTCGTGATCCTGACCGTAACTAGCGGCGAGCCTTCTCCAGTCAATCGGAATGAGCTGCCACGGCCCCTTCCGCTGCCCCTTACAGCACGCCACGCCTTCGTGGAATTCACACCAGAAGTCGCGATGAATAGGGTCAACGTAGAGATCAGCCGTCTCCAAGTCCGGATCAGCCAGCAGCCGCAACAGAGCCTGAAACGGCCTGGAGTGGGCGAAAGCGTCGTCACGCCGCGTAATGGCGGCCCTCCGCGACTGCGCGTCGGCGGCGCTCTGATTGAAGACAATCTTGTCGGCGCTCGTGGGGTACAGCACGAGCCTGAGGTGCCGCAGGGAGCCGTTCAGGATCATATCGGCCACGGCCGGGGAGACGTGGGTCTGGAAGACGTTGCCCAGGCGGCCCGGCGAGAGCTCGAGGTGCTTCACGCGGCGGCGGGCCTGGGTATTACCAAGAAGCCAGGGGCTGCCGCCGTCGCAGATGGCGCGCTCGACGGCGGCGCGGGGCCCCGTTTGGAGGTTGAGGATGAAGCGGTTCTGTTCGTAGAAGAGGGCGGAGCCGGCGGCGTAGAGGAGCGGGTGGGCGAGGAGCAGGTCGTGCGGGAAGGGGATCTCGGAGGATTCTGTGGGACCTATCTGGATTGGATTTGGGAGTACGCAGAGGTAGGATATGATTTGGTCCCGGATCTCGACGGGAAGGTCAAAGAACTGGTCGAAGGTGCGGGAGGCCATCTTGGCGGGTTCCCGACATGGTCGGTGACAAGGTAAGATCAACAGGATATGCCTTGTAGCCTCATGAAAGACTTCTAGAAGAAAAGCCTTCTATCAGATTAGATCGGCAAGACACTAGGTATTCCTGATGCTGATGTCGTATGGATGAGGACTGAGGGTAGTAGTGACACTGGGACTGGCAGAAGGTGGGGTTATCGATTACGTGATTGGCTGCGAGGTCAGTCGGCCCCACTGTGGCGATCGAACTCCATGCCATCGTGCCTCTGCCCTGGTCAGTTCTATTTCGACTTCACACCATCCTATGTGGCATGTCGTTGATGGAGCTCAAATACATCGAGAGTCTACGGGAGGCAATGACAATAGATAAAATCTCCTCATTTGCCGGCTTCTTAAGGTGGAAGAGCACTGTATTCCGGATGAGCGGGGAGTGCTTGAGCAACACATTGTGGTGTAAGACGGCGTCGATGCAACAAACATTTGGGACGAGGTGTAAGAAACATCTACCTGGAACATAGCGCCTTCTTCTGTTGACAATAAATATCGCATTGCTAGATCTATCTGTGCTGTCTATTTTCGCCATTTTAAGGTACAATCACACCGAGATCCCTTTCGCACCTTCCCTTTGTGAAAGAAGTAAAGATACAAAAGATGAAAGTTTGGTTGACCACATGATGAATCAAAACACCGCCGCCTGAAAGCCTCGGGAGCATCACCGAGGCAGTCACCCGATCAAGCATCTCGACCCGTGGTCGGTGAAAGAGGAAGCATTGTTGGTCCCTATGAACCTTCCTCTGTCGCCTAAGGCATGGAGTGGTGTTACTGGGAATTGTACAGGTAGCATCAAGCACATTATCCCTGATCTAGGCTGACAGCGATTTACCGAGGGATTCGAACTCTCGACTTACGATTCCCAGGAAACAGCCCTTGAATTTTGAATGGCTCAGCCGGCTTCCACGTCCGTCTTCATTCCCGACCTCCCAGCCTGTAAGTTCCTGTGAACAGTCTCGTTGGATATCGTACGTGGGAACTTCTGAGGCGAGATGAATCACGACGAGTTCACTACTGCAGAGGAGGCTATGAAGGAAAGCTGGATATTCGCCAAGATTGTCAGGTTTCGCTGCAAGTGCGAGCATCTTCAATCGCGTGAGAGGCCCCGTTTATGGCACGATGTTATTCGGAGCTCAAATCAAAAGCTCCGCGTCCGCGTCGCCGCCAGAATCATCTGGGCCTAAAATTTCAAGCTCCTCGTCGTTGTAGACGAGCAGTCCGCTGCCCACGTCGACAACTTGTCTACCTACACACCACCACTTCCCTCCATTAGTCTTGACCAATCGGTAAGCAAGTCCTGCATCCGCTACCAATGCCCGAACGCGATTTCTGAGCCGCTACATCTGGGCATCTTCGAATCTTGTCTGCGCGTGTATGGCTTGACTTGCGGGACGCTCGAAAACCGGCATGTCCATCCCAGAGAAGGGAGATGTCCTGCCCGGCCCACATTCATTCTTGGTCGTACTCGAAGGTACTTGTGGCGGATTTGGTGATGAAGAGTATCCGTCTAGGCGTACAATATGATTCGTCGCCCGGGGTCAGCGAATTTGCAAGGCAAAATTTGAATTGATCATAGTTCTGGGGATATATCCTTCATGGAAAGGCCGACGGAAAGGCACTGGGGCTGCTCTGTATGGACCTTGCTTCGCGGCTTCTCACCAGAAACGAATGCATTCACAGCGCATCTCCTCTGAAGGGAACGTAGTCCTGGCAAACCTAACACCCACAAGCGGGAGACGATATCAAAACGGACAGGTCAAACAACATGATTTACCTGAGCAATCCGATGCACCAGGCAATCGTCTCTGATGAAAGTCCAGGGCTAAAACATTCAACCTCAATATGAAGCTTCCCGGACCCCTTATTACCAGCTTGTCCGTCATCAGGCCCAATCGCCAGAGCGCTTTGCTCAATCGCCAAGTATAGAGAACCGACCCCGCGTTAGACGAGACCACACTGAAGCCTTTAACTTTCTATAACGTGCACAACGGACTACACCGGCCGCTGCTTTGCTTCACAGACGCCTATCGACATGCTTCGACCTAATCAAC